GCGGTGACGTCATTTCCGGCGCGACCATCTTGGCGTAGTCCAGGGTGATCTTGGGAACTATGCCGAAAGTAGTGTCTAGGTCAGTAGTCTGCTCTGACACTCGGGACCGGGAGGAGTATGACGACGGCGAGAAGCCCCTCCACGTGTACTACTGTTTGTGCGGCCAGATGGTCCTAGTGCTGGACTGCCAGTTGGAGAAACTGCCCATGAGGCCCCGGGACCGGTCCCGTGTGATTGATGCTGCCAAACATGCCCATAAGTTTTGTAACACAGAAGACGAGGAGACTACGTATCTGCGGAGACCTGAAGGCTTTGAACGACAGTACAGGAAGAAATGTGCAAAATGTGGACTGCTGCTCTTCTACCAATCCCAGCCGAAGAATGCTCCTGTTACCTTCATTGTGGATGGAGCAGTAGTCAAGTTTGGCCAGGGCTTTGGGAAAACAAACATATATACTCAGAAACAAGAGCCTCCTAAAAAGGTGATGATGACCAAACGGACCAAAGACATGGGCAAGTTCAGTTCTGTCACTGTGTCTACCATCGATGAAGAGGAAGAGGAGATTGAGGCTAGGGAAGTTGCCGATTCATATGCACAGAATGCCAAAGTGATTGAAAAACAGCTAGAGCGCAAAGGCATGAGCAAGAGACGACTGCAAGAGCTGGCCGAGCTGGAAGCCAAGAGAGCGAAAATGAAGGGGACCTTGATTGACAACCAGTTCAAATAACCAGACTGTTTTCTGAGCCCTAGACTGGAGGCAGACATTTAGATCAAGAGGCAAAGTACTTTCTTGATTACATAGACTGGTTCCTGTTTATGTCCTAGCAGAAGTCTTTACGTTGTTTCCCATCGATTTTCCTGCATTCAGTGAGTTCTTTAACTGAGTCCATTTGACCTGCTTTCTAGGAGATGGAGTTTTCTAAATTTTTCTCTACTTAGGCTTTCTGTACTATTTTTTGTCCATTTGATGCAAACTTCTTTAGCTGTGTAGAAACTTTACGAATAGATCAGTGCTTGAGTGTCTCCAGTCTCTAAAGTGGCTGCTTTTATTCTTTCTTCAAAGTTAATAACATGTTTCACGATATTTGGACAAAATATTATAGTGTGTCATAGAGAAAAGCAGTGTGAATTATATTTAGGTATAGCAAGTCAGATCCTTTCAAGTGACTGTCTCTGTTCTTAGAAGGGTTCTTGGAATTGGCTGTGGTTTGAATCTTTCTACAGTCAGAGGAGACCCATTAAAAGCCAAAATCTGCATAAAGCTTTCTTTGCTTCAAACACTGAAGCTATAGGTGTGCCATCCCATGTCAGACTTTATACTCAGAGAAGGGAAAGCCAGATTGCAGTGAAGCGGGTAGGACAGCTCAGATCCAAATGAAAACAGGGTCTCAGTAAGTCACCCAAGGGAGCTACCCTCTTGTCGGGCAGCTAGTACTGCTTCCTTGCATGGATTCATATATAGGAGGGAGATGTTATAGATTAAGAAGTGATAGCGAGATAAACAAGATGATCTGTTGGTTATCTTTTAGTTTACATTTGCTATTTGCAGAGGAGTGTTGTATATATAGATATTATTTTATGTCACACTGCTTCAGAGATACCTATATCCATGTGTTTATATTCATGTTTTTATCCATCCACCTGTATTAAAAGATGTTGGGACAGGAAAAAAAACAAAACAAAACAAATAAAAGACATCCAAACAGGAAGAGAGAAACTCTGACTATTTGCAGATGACATAATTCTCTATCTAGAAAACACTATAGTCTTGGCTGAAAAGCTCTTTAAACTGACAACTTCAGCAAAGTTTAAGGATACAAAATGAATGTACAAAAATCAATAGCATTCCTGTACATTAACAACACCCAAGCCGAAAACCAAATCAAAACCACAATTCATAGTTGCTACAAGAATAAAATATCTAGAAATAAGCAGGGAGGTAAAAGATTTCTATAACACTAATTACAAAACACTTCTTAACACTTCTTAAACACTTTGCCCGGCGAACAGATGATTTTCAAAAGACATACATATGGCTAATGACCACATGAAAGAAATACTCGGCCAGGTGTGGTGGCTCACGCCTGTAATCTCAGCACTTTGGAAGGCCAAGGCGGGCAGATCACCTGAGGCCAGGAGTTCAAGACCAGCCTGGCCAACGTGGTGAAACCCTGTCTTAAAAAAAAAAAAAAAAAAAGAGGCCTGGCGCAGTGGCTCACGCCTGTAATCCCAGCACTTGGGGAGGCCGAGGTGGGTGGATCACTAGGTCAAGAGATGGAGACCATCCTGGCAAACATAGTGAAACCCCGTCTCTACTAAAAATACAAAAACATTAGCTGGGTGTGGTGGCGCACGCCTGTAGTCCCAGCTACTTGGGAGGCTGAGGCAGGTGAATTGTTTGAACGTGGGAGGTGGAGGTTGCAGTGAGCCGAGACTGCGCCACTGCACTCCAGCCTGGCGCCTGTCGACAGAGCAAGACTCTGTCTCAAAAAAAAAAAAAAAGAAAAAAAAAGAAATACTCATCACTAATCATTAGAGAAATGTTACGAAAAACCACAATGACATACCATCTCAGATCAGTCAGAATGACTATTATTAAAAAGTCAAAAAATGTTTGGAGGCCAAGGCAGGCAGATCACCTGATGTCGGGAGTTCAAGACCAGCCTGACCAACATCGTGAAATTCCGTCTTAAAAAAAAAAAAAAAGTCAAAAAATGATAGATCCTGGTAAGGTTGCATAGAAAAGAGGATGCTTATACACTGCTGGTGGGAATGTAAATCAGTTCAACCATTGTGAAAAGCAGTGTAGTGATTTCTCACAGAATTATCATTGACCCAGCAACCTCATAAATGGATAGATACCCAAAGAAATATAAGTTATTCTGTCATAAAGACACATGCACACACGTTTACTGCAGTACTATTCACGATGGCAAAGACACAGAATCAACCTAAATACTTATCAATGGTAGACTGGATAAATAAAATATTGCTCAATTGTCACGGTGGCTCTCACCTGTGGGAGGCTGATGAAGGCAGATTTCCTGACCTCAGGAGTTTGAGACCAGCTAAAGTAACCTGTGAAAACCCCATTTCTACAAAAAACACACATAAAAAATTAGTCAGGCGTAGCGGCGTATGCCTGTAGTCCAAGCTACTTTAACAGCTGAGGTAGAAGAATTGCTTGAGCCCAGAATGTTGAGGCTGCAGTGAGCCAAGATCATGCCAGTGCATTCCAGCCTGGGTGACAATGTAAGACCCTGTCTCCACAAAAAAAAAAAAAAAAGAACAAGATGATGTTCTTTGCAGCAACATGGAGGTAATCTTCAGGAAAACGAATGCAGAAACAGAAAACCAAATTCATGTTCTCATTTATAAGAGCCAAATAATAAGAACACATGGACACAAAGAGGGGAACGGCAGACAACGAGGTTTAGTTTAGGGTGGACGTTAGGGAACAAAGAGGATCAGAAACGATGCCTTTTTGATGCGATGCTTAGTACCTCAGTAACAAAATAATCCTTACCAAACTTCCACGACACAATTTTATCTATATAATAAACCTGCATGTGTACCCCTGAACCAAAAATAAAAGTTAAAAGGAAAAAACTTCACGGGTGAGAGAGACGGCTGGTTTGTGCTTCAGACAGTGACTCATATGGCACTGTACTCTGATTTATTTCTGTGTCCATGCAGGCCTACGAGATTATGAACAGGTGGCCTGGAAACCTAAGCTGCTGGAGGAAACAGGTTGCTGCTGCAGATTTAATGCCTGCGGGTAGGGTTATGTCAGGACACTCGTAGACACTTTTATGGGTTTATGGCAACACTAGGAATAAAAATACTGGCCGGGCAGGGTGGCTCACGCCTGTAATCCCAGCACTTTGGGAGGCCGAGGTGGGTAGATCACAAGGTCAGAAGTTCGAGACCATCCTGACCAATACGGTAAAACCCCATCTCTACTAAGAATATAAAAACTAGCCAGGCGTGGTGGTGCACACCTGTAGTCCCAGCTACTTGGGAGGCTGAGGCAGGAGAATCACTTGAAGCTGGGAGGCAGTGGTTACAGTGAGATGAGACTATGCCACTGCACTCCAGCCTGGGTGACAGAGTGAGACTCCATCTCAAAAATAAAATAAAATAAAATAAAAATGCTGTGGTGAAGTTTCTGAGAATGGTGCCTAGTCCTGGGAAGGGTGTAAACATGTCAATGTCTAGCATACGTGTTTGTGAGTGGGTGGGAATCCCGTGGTGGCAACTGTAGAAAACAATGATCTTTCATCAGAGCTCCTTTTCTCTAAGTGTTCAGTCCTCTTGCACTCTGGGAGCAGACCTGGAATCACAGGAAAATGGTCTGTGTATAGGAAAGCAGAGACTCCCATCCCAGACACCCAGAGTTTTATTCCAGGCCAGGCCTCCATGATATATTTTTTTTCCTGGCACCAAATATGTAGAGTTTGCTGAACACAAAGCAATTCTCCAACACCAACTCATTGTCTAATATTTAAATTCTGACACCAGCCGAGTCAGCACAGACCCTGATTCAGGGGAGGGGTCAGTCCCACAACACCGTCCTTACTGCAGATGCCAGTCACAAACCCCATGAGTCCATCCATACTTCTGAGCTACTGTTTAAAATTCAGGACTCCTGTAGCATCCCTCAAGTTCAATAATTTGATAGTGCTGCTCACAGAACTCAGTAAAACACTGTAATTATGTTTACCGGTTTATTATAAAAGACACAACCCAGAAAAAGTCAAATAAAAGAAATGTACAGGAAAAAAAAAAAAAAAAAAAAAGAGGTGGGGAAAGATGAAGCCCATAGATAATCCTGGTAAATAGCTAAGATTAGTAAGATTTCCCATCCACTGTGTGTTCCAGGAACAGTTTATGGAAAGAAACACCCTACCCATTATGACTTAGATAGTACTCTCCTACCACACAGCCAGACACACACTCTGCACATTTTCTTCTTTTTCTAGTAAGCAAATCAGCTGAATTTGTCTTCAGTGGTCATAATACATACTTCTTAATCAAATATTACTTAACTTTCCTTCCCACAGGTTCCTGAATTCTCAGCTACTATCAGTCTGAGTGAACACAGGACCTCATTTTATGTCCCACCTAATAACATTCTGACTTTCGGGTAAAACGTTTTCTGATCTAGAATCTGATTGTTTAACCCTCCATCTGCTATTCTTCTCCCATCATCTTTCTAATCTTGTTTGCTTTTTTCTATGAAAGAAAGCCCCTGTCTGCCTTTGTAGTCGTTAAATATCTTTTTTTTTTTTTTTTTAAGACGGGGTTTCACCATGTTGGTCAGGCTGGTCTTGAACTCCCGACCTCAGGTGATCCACCCGTCTTGGCCTCCAAAGTGCTTAAATTACAGGCGTGAGCCACCACACCCAGCCAACAGAAATTTTTTTCTTTTTTCTTTTTTTTTTTTTTAAGATGGGGTTTCACCATGATGGCCAGGCTGGTCTTGAACTCCTGACCTCAGGTGATCCACCCACCTCGGCCTCCCAAAGTGCTAGGATTACAGGCGTGAGCCACAGTGCCCGGCCCCTGCAGTCGTTAAACATCTTTTTTTTTTTTTTTGGGACAGAGTTTCGCTCTTGTTACCTAGGCTGGAGTGCAATGGTGCGATCTCGGCTCACCGCAACCACTGCCTCCTGGGTTCAGGCAATTCTCCTGCCTCAGCCTCCTGAGTAGCTGGGATTACAGGCACGCGCCACCATGCCCAGCTAATTTTTTGTATTTTTAGTAGAGATGGGGTTTCACCGTGTTGACAGGATGGTCTCGATCTCTTGACCTCGTGATCCACCCCTCTCGGCCTCCCAAAATGCTGGGATTACAGGCGTGAGCCACCGCGCCCGGCCCGTTAAACATCTTATAGTTGGTACTTATTCCTGTTGCAATACTTATTTGGAATTCAAATTGTTTTTACATAAACCAAACATTGTTTTTATTTTACGAAGTCTAAACACTGCCTGAAGCAATAACTTCATCTTCTGTAAGATCCTCCCAGTTATCTTTCATCTTAACCTTAACTGCATCTGCCTGTGGGTCCCCAGCTTCCCAGGGCTCTGTAGCTTTTCTCAGGATAAAGTCTTCTTGCATGGCTGGGATGAGCAGGCTGAGACATCTGCAGGAGAGGCTCCCCAGAAAGAACTAACTGGGCCTTTAATAACCTCCGTATACAGTCTTTTTATTAGCCTTAGCTTGGAGTCACTGGGCCAAGCTTTAATTTCCATGTCAAAGTTATTCACTTGGGTTTTGAAACTAAGTGTTTGAAATGTCCAGCAAAATTACTCAAACACAGCATTCGTATGTGGAAAGAACATTTTATGGTGCTTACATTTCATACCTTAACAAGAAAAGTAAAAGTATTCCTTTCAGACAATAAATATATTACTGTATTATTTTCATTAAAAATCAGGTACTAAATTATTCATATGAAAACACTTCTAGGAAGTACCAAGACTCATCTTATACAATTTAGCATGAAACAGAAATCAAAATAACAGGACATAAAATAGAAATATTCACTGTCACAAATTTACGCTGCAAAAAGAGGAACTGATGTTTTCATGAATCCATGTAACTCACCAATTATTTACCATATTTTATTGTGGAAATGTATTCATTTCCTACAGTCAAAATAAGATTTTCCTTATTTTTTCCTTGGAGCATTCTAAAAGCTAAGCCTTGGAAGTCTGTTTAAAATCACCTAGCCATAAAAAACACACCTGAGAAAATTCCTTTACTCAGAAAAAGAAAAAAGTAAATGAGAATTTTTAACAAAAAAAAAAAAATAGATTTTTTTTGAAACCCATCACTAGCATGTCCTTTGTAAATATTTTTGTACCTTTCAACCTTTACTAATAAAATTCAATTTATATTTAAAAACCTGGGCCGGGCGCGGTGGCTCAAGCCTGTAATCCCAGCACTTTGGGAGGCCGAGGCGGGTGGATCACGAGGTCAAGAGATCGAGAGCATCCTGGTCAACATGGTGAAACCCCGTCTGTACTAAAAATACAAAACATTAGCTGGGCATGGTGGCGCGTGCCTGTAGTCCCAGCTACTGGGGAGGCTGAGGCAGGAGAATTCCTTGAACCCAGGAGGTGGAGGTTGCGGTGAGCCGAGATTGCGCCATTGCACTCCAGCCTGGGTAACAAGAGCGAAACTCTGTCTCAAAAAAAAAAATAAATAAAAAAAATAAAAACCTGAAGTCTATATAAGTGAACCAATCTTTTCAAGGTGATAAACCCAGGGAGTGGCAGTGCTGATTAAAAACAGATGTGTCAAGCTGGGCGCAGTGGCTGACCCCTGTAATCCCAACACTTTGGGAGGCTGAGGCAGATGGATCACAAGGTCAGGAGTTCGAGGCCAGTTTGAACAACATGTTGAAACCCTGTCTCTACTAAAAATATTTTTAAAAATTAGCCAGGCGCGGTGGTACATGTCTGTAATTTCAGCTACTCGGGAGACTGAGGCAGGAGAATCGCTTGAACCCTGGAGGCAGAGGTTGCAGTGAGCAGAGATCGCGCCATTACACTCCAGCTTGGGCGACAGAGTGAGACTCCATCTCAAAACACACACACACACACACACACACACACACGCGCGCGCACGCAAAACAGACGTGTCTGACTCGTGTCAAGTCAGGCCATCCAGTCACTTTAGAGATTCTTCCACCCCATCCTGCTCCCTTACGTACTCCATGATCACCCTCTCAGGAGACACTGCACTATGCCCCAGTCACTCACTCTGCAAGTTCTCGAATGATCTCTCTGGGATGAGTTTTTTTGTTTTTTGTTTGTTTGTTTGTTTTCTTTACTTTTCGGTTACGATTTATTTTTTCCCACAAATATCAGAGAATCTGGGGGCAGAAATTGCTTGTTTTTTCCTCAGTATTAGCATCTATTGGCTGATCAGCAGTGTCTCCAAGAAATGAAAAGTGGACCGGGCGTGGTGGCTCAAGCCTGTAATCCCAGCACTTTGGGAGGCCAAGGCGGGTGGATCACGAGGTCAAGAGATCGAGACCATCCTGGTCAACATGGTGAAACCCCGTCTCTACTAAAAAATACAAAAAATTAGCTGGGCATGGTGGTGTGTGCCTGTAATCCCAGCTACTCAGGAGGCTGAGGCAGGAGAATTGCCTGAACCCAGGAGGCGGAGGTTGTGGTGAGCCGAGATCGCGCCATTGCACTCCAGCCTGGGTAACATGAGTGAAACTCCGTCTCAAAAAAAAAAAAAAAAAAGAAAGAAATGAAAAGTGGGATAAGGGAAGACAACACCTCAAGGAATTAGCTTTTCAAAGGAGGAGTGCACCAAAAAATTTATCTCAGCTCCTGGGCATCCACCTATTCCTTTGAGAAGCCTCACTTCATACCTCGGGTTGTCCTATGAGAAAAAATGACCCAGGAACTAATATTCATTAGACACTCTAGCAGACAGAGTCATGGCTGATATCTTCATTTATTCAGAGACAGTACTGAAACCCAGGACCAGGAAAAAACTAAAGGGTGGATGAGGAGGACACATAACCCTATAAAGATTCAATAAAGGGCCGGGCGCGGTGCCTCATGCCTGTAATCCTAGCACTTTGGGAGGCTGAGGTGGGTGGATCACCTGAGGTCCGGAGTTCAAGACCAGCCTGGACATCATGGTGAAACCCCATCTTTCAAAAAAAAAAATTAATTAAAAAAAAAAGATTCAATTAAAAAAACTTTGACCCCAAAACATTCTTAGAAAATCTCTGTACGTAGGGAATATATATT